AAACCACCAACTTTTCCAGCCTTAGCTCCTTTTCCTTCTTCTTGTTACTCGCTGTTTTCCTCTTCATAGAGTGTCTTTTCTTCCATGCCGCACCAGTGAACATCCAGCCTCGAAATCGTACCTCATCTCTTTCAAAGATTTGTAAACAACATCGACCGGAAAGTTGAGCATCGCGGTCAACCCTCGCATGGCTAATGCCGCTTGATCATAAGCCAAGGCTGTTGCTGCTTCTGTAGTGTCAAAAGTTCCCAACCACACTCTCACCTATTCCTCATAGAATCCCTTATTTCAGTGGCGTACTTTCCCCACAGTCTTCGGCACACACCTCTATTGATGTAAGACAATTGGCTCTATTGATGTAAGACAATTGGCGTTAGCATTTGAATAAGAATCGGACCGTAAATTGCCTAAAAGAGCTGTTTCGAAGAAACGGGCATAACTTTTTTCACCGGTATCAGATTTTCTATTATAATATGTTTACAAAAACGTCTTTTAGCGCTCCATACCATCCCAACCCGGGTTATCCCAGTTGACGTCGTTTCCAGCCTCAAATTCGCAGTTTAGGACGTGTTACCTAGCAGTCAAAGTTTTAGCCTTATTTTTGGTTTTTACGTTTTTAGTTGCTTTGATTTAGTGAATGTCTATTTTGGTCTTTTTGCTTAAATTAAGGTTTCCTTTGTTTCTGAATAGCATAATTCAATTTTGGAGGCTATTACTTTCTTGTGAATTACAATTCTCTCTCGTTTGAGTTTACGTTTGTAAACCTAGAACTTCTGTTCTGCATCATCTATACATTACTTCCTTCTCCGGCGAGTACTGCATTCGATCAGTTCGTTCCGATGAGGATTCGAAACTCCTGGCTTCTGCTAATACTCCATAGAGCACCATCACTTCGGAGTCATTCTCATTGAAAGTAAGATTTTGTGTGTTCAAAGAGTAATGTAAGAATGAAGAATCCATGAATGAGTTTTTCAAAGGTAATGCTCTTTATAAGAGAGTTTGAGGTTTGAATTCTTGTGTTTTACTTTGATTTTCTGCTTCTTACTTATAAGTGGTCTTTGATCGTAAGAAAATCTTATACCTTATAAACTGCTAGAACTTCGACTACATATATAGAAGCCTAAGAAGGATATTATGGTCAAAAATACAAATTTAATGCACATAAATTTGGTGCAACCCATAATTGCACGTGGGTCAAAAGATTTTGTGGACATGGCGGCCAGGTCAGAGAATATTCAATAAAGCTATTTGTACAAAGTATAGTTATAAAAGTTTGCTTACAAAGTGTGTTGGCAAAATTTAAACCGTTGATTTCAAATGAATTAAAAATCTGTTTTTAAAAT